GTCATGTAGGGGCTGATATGTGTTACATGCCGATCGCCGCGCCGCGACAGGGCTTCTCCTTTTCATCTCAAGTCCTCGTCATCGTTTCTCCCTAAGTCGCGCCGTTCCAGGCCAAATTGCGTGTTTGGTTTCTCTCTTAATTCGACTAATTAAAGGTGCTGTCTCTTGTATCACTGAATGACGACAAAAGTAGAAATTACTATACTCCCCGAAAATTAAAGATTTTGTCGCCGTATCTCGTTTGTATTTTTTTTTTCTCAATTCGAATTTTCTATGCCTATATTTTAAAAAATTTCAAAATTTGCCACCCCCTATAGATTTCCCGCCATGGGCCCCGGCCCTGATTGACAAGAATGTACTCTTGATTCAATCGGAATTTTGTTCGAATCGACAGCCAAGCCTCTTAATTTTAGCAGATTTCCTTTTGATTCGAGCAAAAATCCGATAGGATCAAGAGTAATTTTTCTTTTAATTTTTCTACGAGTCTGGACTCTGAATCTAGGAAACTTTTTTTTCTAGTGAACGATTCGGTGTGGAGCACGTTGACCTCGAACATTTCCGACGATTTCCGATAGGAGGCCCATGAATCTCAACCGAGGAAGCGTAGCCGGAGAATATTCTCTCCTTGATATTTAGCGCCGTTGCGCTGCATTTGAAAGTGAGGGAATGAGTAAGTGAATAAGAGATAAATCCGTCCGGGAAGGTGAAAGAAACGGGGAACTCTTGTCGGTATGCCATGCCGTGCAGCCCTCCTGCTCTCAACGCTCAGCGCCCAGTCGCTTTCCATTGTGTTGGTGTGTTTATTTTATTAACACCTCGGTTCTTGGCATAAATTTACGGTTCTGCCAACCACACCTAAAAAGCTTTTTCTATCGCGGTCTTCCTCCGTGTTCCTTGACGGGCGCAATCGGGACCGTAGCTCATGCTCCAGATGTTGGCAGTTTGACGCTATGACCCGCTTTCGAGCGGGTGTGACAGTTGCCCATCCTGTGTCGTAAGTCATCGCCACGTGACAACTAGCTATCGCAAGAAAATATTCGAATACACGCAATGGAGGATAGACCGTATTCGATAACGGTTCGATGTATCGTTTGGTTCAAAACAATAGAACATAACCTCAAACCAAACTGTGAGGATTTAAGTTGGAAAAGCTGAAAATGAGAAATTTCCTGACAATTTCACTTTGAATTGGCACTTGGAACTCAAAATAATAAAAAATCTGTTACAAAAGACCCGTTCTCTCAGATTTCTGAATGTACTTTTGAGGCTATGTTTATGTTTTGAACCAATCGATATCATCACAATCTCAGCCGTTCGATGTATCAAATACGATCTATTGGCGCGCAAATTGTTTATTGCTTCATCCGAAAGTGCCTGAAGAGCTAAATTTCCAATATTTTTCATAATTTTTCTCCGCTATCAGAAATAGTATAAAAATAGATTTAAAAGTGAGAAAATGCACCGCCTGGTGACGTCATCTGGCGGAACATGCCATTTAAACACATGTATTTTAGCAGATTAAGTTATTTTGTCGTATCTCCTCCAATAATTGTTCGATTTATGAACCAAGGGTATCCTTGTGTTCAGTTCACTCGGTGGTATCCACTTTGACACGGAATTGATCGAATTTTAGACGCCTGCAAATTCTCTATTTCCTTAAATATCGAGGGGTTTTTTGCGATAGTGGAGAATGTGCGCGCGAATTGTTTACTGATTCATCTTAAAGTGCTCAAAGAGCTGATTCCGCAGTATTTTTTATACTTTTTTTCTGACATGGGTAATAACACACGAATATATTTGAAATTGAGAAAATGCACCGCCTAGTAACGTCATCTGGCGGCATTTCCCATCTAAACACATGTATTTTAGCATGTTAGATCATTTTGTCATATCCTACTCTTTAGGTGGGTCAGAAAATTGATTTAACCGCTAAAGGACGAACAAGTCTGAGAAATGTTTTTTTACCGCTAGCTGACCTTTACCAGGAAACTTTTTCCACCGCTAACTGGACTTCGCCAGGAATTTTTTCTCCGTATCTCCAATTTGGTATTAAGTTAAGTAATGCAGCAGATACAATCGCTCACTGCAAATGTTTTATCGCAAAAAGGATCCATTTCAGAAAAAAAATTACGGTGAACATGACCCTTGTAAGGAATTAAATTCTATCGTTAGATAGTACCCTACTGGCGAAGTTATTTAGCGCCAAATCCCCAGAGACTTCTCCTAAATATTAACCTCTGTACATGTAGTTTCAAGATGTGACATCGATGGATTTTAGTTCCTCTTACAGCGTGGGCCGCACGTTTTGTAACCTTTACGTCACTGTCATCAGCTGTGACCTATAAAGTCTCGTCACTCTTATATCCCTTATATTTACTTTGCTCTGCGTTCTGCGGAATTTTCCTCAGAGTAAATGTCAATTCGTGACGATTAAAAAGCTCTTTAACTATATGAGGATAAATAAATAAATAAATAAATAGATAAATAGACAAATAAATATGAATAGATAAATATATAGATGGATAAATAAATAAATGAAAAAAACATTGGGTTTTAATTCAAGAAATTAAGTTGCTCACGTGTGTCCGAGCAAAACATGAAATTAAGTCGAGACTGACATGAATTTTTGTCTATAATTTAAGCGTCACCTCAGACAGTAACCAGTTTATATTTTCCCAGCACGCATACGTAGCATTGTTGATCTTCGTGTGTCGGTTACTTTGTTTGTATGAACTTAACCTTTCTCACAGTCATAATCATCCTCGCGACTCCACTTTACTATTGACTGGAACGAGGCATAGATCTTCCGGCGGTAAAAATGATGAAAAAGTGAGGAAATGGGGAGTAAGTAGCCAGACTATGCCGTGCGCCTCGGACGTAAGAAAATCAGGGCATGTTCTCACGGTGTTCATGAATTAATTTAAAACCATCCGGATAATTAACGCCTCCTATTATCTGCACTTCCAGAGACACCCTCAATCGCGCTCTTGTATTTCGGATCAACGCAGTGGTGTAGGTACTTGAAAATCAACACGGGAAAGAAAGTGTTGCGGTTATCCCATAAAATTTTGGTACTACCATAATTTGTTGGCTGACAGGGGCATTTCCAATTAATTGTTGTAGTAGGTACCACATCTCAACTTGGGGGAGTAGGTACCGCAACATTTGGGTTAGTAACCTGATTTTCTGAGATACTACCTACCACAATTAATTAATTGGAGTATTACCAAAATTAATCGGAGTGTTACCAAAATTAATTGGAAATGCCAATATCATCCTACAACCCCTACTTCTTTTTTTCCGTCATGTCGTGACAAGCAAAAATAGAATTTCTTTGGATATTTCTATTCGTGGTTTCGGTAATTTTTCAGAAAATTTGATCCCATGACTTAATCGGGGGATCAGTTTTTTATTGGGAACAATGAACCCGGGATTAACCAGTTGCATGTCGATGGTGAGATTGCCAAACCACGTACCTTAGTTTGCAACACTGCAGACTTCCTGTCATATATTATTTTTTACATGGAGAATCATTCAACAATTCTTTAAGACTTCCGTAATTTTTCCTCTATTTCCGAAGTGAATTACGTGAGAACTGATTGGAATGGTGTGTATTTATTATCCTTCAAAAAAATTAAATTGGCGTGGAGACTTCAAAACACCGCAGATAAGATACGTGGTTTGGGAGTTTCATCGTCGTTGTATAATGAATAAACACAACTCACAATAACTAGCATAAAGTCATTCAGGACAAAATCATCAGATGTTTCGCTACTCATAATGAAAGAGACAAATACTGAGCTTTTGGCCGATTCTCTCCTTCATAATATGTGGACTCAGGCCAAGCTTTGAAAAAAAAAAACAGTGTGCAAGAGGATGTTTATGTTTGAAAAATTACCGTATCATGGTGAAAAAGTAAACGTTTCGGCCACGACAATGACTTTCATCAGTGCAAAGAACATAATTATCCTGCACACCGCACTGGAAAAAAAAAAAACACATTGGATCTAGAGTCCAGACTCTTGAAAACATTGACAAGAAAAAATACTCTTGATTCAATCGGATTTTTGCTTGAATCAAAACGAAATCCGCTATAATTAAGAGGCTTGGTTCTTGATTTAAGCTAGATTCTGATTGAATCAAGAGTACTTTTTACTGTCGATGTTTTTAAGAGTCTGGACTCTAGATCCAATGTGTTTTTTTTTCCAGTGCGTTTTTTAAGCATGACCTGAGTTCACATATTATCAAAGAGAAAATCTGCTAAAAGCTCATAGTACTTATTTGTTATAGTCATTTCGAACTATGCATATCATTACCTGGCAAATTTGGTGCGTTTCCATATAGTTTCGATCTATGCGTGGATCTCACGGCGAAAATGGTCCATAGTGCTAAAGTATGCACCGTTTTCCTGAAAAATCTCTCATGCGGTGCTCGCGCATCTATGGCCTCGAGGCGGGGAACAATGGGTTCTTCATGATCATGAATGACACCTTGTCGCTTCTTTGACGTAAGGGCGTTACTCCATCTTCCATAGAGCCCTGGATAGAATAGAGTTATATAGACATCGGGGCTCATCTCAAAACGATGCTAAACCCTTTCATCAAAGGAGCAATGACCTTACCGTCACTACATAGCTACTCATCGTAGTGTATACTCACGCGCGGATCATTCCGCGTATGTACGCTGCCGTGCTTAGGAAAAACGCAGTATGAGCCTTCAGGCGTTGCCAAGTTTTCTCCGATAAAAACCGTATTTACTGGGAAAATTGCAAATATCATTTTCCAAAATTTTCAGGCAATGTTGTACGCAATTCAATCTATAATATCTGAAAATTTCAAGGAAAAATATGCATGGATGTTGTCAAAAATGCGTATTTTATCAAGGGAAATTTGGCAACTCTCGAATGTTGATATGGCGTTTTTCCTCAGCACGGCGGTACACAACCAACCAGAAAGGCAACGTAATTCTAACGGCCCGTTTTTTTGTTTTTTTGGTTGCAGGAACATGACGTTTTTTGATTGATCCGAGGAACAATGGTGCTGGACTGCGGAGAGGACCCACGAATGCCGGTTCCGCTACAACTTGATTCACCACTCATCGTTGCCGGCACAAGTTCATCGTTCCCGACGAATTTGAATGGATTCCGACTCGTTTACGATTTCTCGACGTAGCGTGGCGTCGCTCGTCGCCGTGCGCATGCGTAGTCCCGAGCGCTCACCAATAAACGCTCACTAATCAACGCTCATCAATAACCGGCCTCATCGCGCCCGCTCTCCGATGGAGCCTTTTGAATTTTAATTAACTTCCCACTGTTGTTGTCGTTATTGTTATGGTCGATGTGGTTGTCGTTGTTAGCGTCTTTTTCTGATTTCTTCTCACTCCGAGTATCACTGACTTAAGACAAATAATATTCTCGACAACAAAGCATATTTTGAAAAAGAATAACGTATCCTCATCTGTACTGCCATGAATTTATACTGCTCATGCTAGGAAAAAGCGCCGTATGAACTTTCGGACTCAGCCAAATTTTCCTCGAACAAATATATATTTGTTAGGAAAATCAATATATTTGGATCGATTCACCCGAGGCAGTTTCACTACTTTCAGGTTGCCGAATTTTCTCTTGTGTTTGATATTTTCAACCTTCGCGTAATCAACATGATGCCTTAAACCACTCTAATAGTTAGAAAAAGAGAGAACCTCGCAATTATACTGGAAGGAACCACAAGAGGATCTCATTACTGTAAGGAAATGGTTTTACACACGATTGTATTGTTATTAAGAAACCCGTTTCCACACCACCTCAGAGGTAGAGTTATCAGCGCGTTTTTTTAAAGTGGTATCCCCAGTAGGCCTATTCCACCAAATGATCGTTTTAGTTTATATAACAAAAGATGTTTGTATGTAACTATCATACAACTAATCCTTTGGACAATTTTCGAGAATGAAGTCGTTCGACACGTTTTGATATTTGACAATGTTTTCCCAATCCACATGATGTTTGAATTTTTTAATAAATCTTTAACTCATTTTCTGATAACGACAAGCTATTTTCCAATCTAGAAGAGAACTAAATTCCTCCATTTCTTTCTTTGATAGATGAATTTTCGATGAAATTAAATCCCAACATTTATTTAGCACCACTCCATGAGAACGAATAAAATCGATTGAAAGATGACAGTTGTTTAGAAGTAAACGCCTGAAATCGAATCGATGTGAGTGGTTATGAAGTAGATTTTCCGGAGAATTGGGATTATTAGACATCTCATCGAAGTCAATGTAAGATGAAATCTCTTCTATGAGCTGCCATGACAAGTTATCCGATTTACAGCTGCTTCAGCGACTTTGGATGTCAGTACTAGATCCTGCAAAAGCAAGCTCCAGTATTGACATCCAAAGTCGCTGAAGCAGATAAATCGGATCACTTGTCATGGCAGCTCATAGAGGAGATTTCATCTTACATTGACTTCCATGAGATGTCTAATAATCCCAATACTTCGGAAAATCTACTTTATAGCCACTCACATCGATTCGATTTCAGGCATTTGCTTCTAAACAACTGTCATTTTCCAATCGATTTTACTCGTTCTCATGGAGTGGCGCTAAATAAATGTTCGGATTTGATTTCATAGAAAATTCATCTATCCGAGAAAGAAATGGAGTAATTAAGTTCTCTCCTAGATTGGAGAATAACTTGTCGCTATCAGAAAATGAGTGAAAGATTTATTAAAAAATTCAAACATCGTGTGTATTGGGAAAACATTGTCAAATATCAAAACGGCGTTTTTCTTCGGCGGAGCAGTATAGTTTTTACAGAGGAATCGTACTTCTGAATAAGATTTGGTATGCATGAGAGGACTACGATTTTGAGACTCATCCAAAAACCAAGGAAATAGTAAGGCCTGAGATAGAAAAAGGCTATTGAAGAGCATCTGCCTTTTTATGATAGAATACCGTTCTCGCACAATGAAGTGAAAGAACTATTTAGGAGAGACCGTCAATTCACACGAAAGGGTGGATCGTCAATCAGGACAAGGTGAGCGTTTATTGAATAATCTACTTTTATTAGGCAATTTTTTAAAGAATTTTTAGGCAATCGATGCTCAGCAGCTACGCAATACCCAGCGGAAGAATAATTTCAGGAAACGTCACTTTTTTACGTCGTGTTAGTTTTTTTCTTTTTCTTTTAACTAGATTTATAAATGACAAAGAAGCTCAACAAAAATAAACAATCAAATATTGTATCATAAAATAAACGCTGTACATATGAATAAATAAATAATAAAATTTATACATTGTAAATTAGAATTCTGTACTTGTCAAATTTTGTAATTATTATTTTACCGTGTATCAGTATGGGTCTAGTGCCTTCAATTCTTAATAGTGACTAGATAATGTGCGATTAGACTTTGAAATCCACTCATGTACCAAGATTGATGAGCAGAAAGTAATAGTAACATACGATTTAGGAATCGGTCCTTATAATTCGGAAGCATTTAGTTGAATGATACCGAAATATTCAGAGCATTAAGGTACAGTATTTATTAAATTCAGACTGCTGAAGTTGACAGAATTAATTAAGTTGCCATAGTATGCATTTTATCTGTGTACGCTTATAATTATTAGGTGTATAAAACCAATATCTTCGAAACAAACTTTGGATTATGATGAAACTGTGTAGTTTTTGTAGAAAAATATGTACATAATGTATGATTGTTGCGTTGAATGTGAATGGTGAAATTTTTTTGCAATTTAGAGAATTAAGTTCTCTCTCGTTCAAAGTGATTCTGAACTCTGACTTCCATTTGCAATTGATGTTGTTTTAGAAATAGTGTAATGTCGAGTTACAGACTTAATGGACGTTCTGCTCCAAAAATCAACACTATTTCAAATTAGGTATTTTATGCGAGAATCCACATCACACATTCGTTCTTTTTATCATAGTGTGGTTGAACGAGAATAAAACAACATCTGTTCGTCATCTGTTCTGTCATTTTCGTTCGCCTCTATTCGTGGATCAATTTTTCCTATATTCTACATAAAAAACTTCGTTTCTTAAACACCATAGTAATCCCATATTGTTTTATAGTTCAGTGATTCCACACGCTCGATTGAACCATCAGCTTAAAGTACATCGTGAAAAGTTGTGGGAGAAAAAAAAGCGTCGCAATGTGAGAAACAACTCTTTCATTTTAACTAATATTTGTGCATACTTATCAAAAATGTTCGTTTTTTTGGTAAATCTCAATGAAATGTAATATTTCCGTCACTGCGTTCAGCCAAATTGTTCATCAGTTGTTAACAATTTTACAAAGTACCTAGCACTTACATGAAATTTTAATCTTGATCAACATCATGTTGTTCTCACTTACCGATTAATAAACCAGAGCAGCGTTCCTTTACTGCACTCTTAATTGTATTGTTCCAGATCTATACTCCTTTCCATCGAGTGCGTATGATTCTGTTAACCATTAATTCATGTTTCAAATGTCATTTATTTTTCTTTCTTATAAATATCACTCATCTCCTCCCTACTGTCTCATACAAGACCAAAAAGTCTGATTATGACACGACTAGAGGAAGCCTGATCCCCGCAAATATTTATACCCTTTCTTGTTTTTCTGTCACTCATACCGTCAGATTACTCTTCATCAACTCAAAACCACTTTTCAAGAGTGGCTTAAAGTACTTCTTAGTGAACTTAGGAATTTCCATTTTGTTTTCTTACACACACGTCAATTGTTATAAAGAGTTGGCCAAGAAAAAGGAAATGCTGAAGGGACATACCTAAGTGTAGGGTGATTCTGAGTTTAAATTTCAGTGAGTTAGGAAACCTGACTGAAGAGGAGATCAATTTTGCTCCACTAATGAGACTGACTCATCGAAATGCAAACTCAAAATTGGTCCTCCTTCGTACTTTGCAAGCTCAAGTCTTGTGTTAAAATATAAACATATATTTTTAATGGACTCATATTATTGAGTTATCCTTCTATTATTTGCGCATTTTGTATCACGTTGGCTGTATTTTATTTTTAAAAAAAATTAACTGTTATAAACATGTTTTTATGTTGTGTCATACGTTCATATACTTTAGATGTAATAAAGTATTTTTATTGAAAGATATATCTATTTTTTTGAGTCAAATATACCCACATGAATTCTTTGCAGAGTATATGATATCAATGGGTGTTATTTTCCATTTAGCCCCGTATGCTAGCAGATTAGGTAATTTGGACACATTTTCTCTGATAATTGTTCATTTCAAAAACCAAGGATATTCTCATACTCAGTTTGTGTAGTCGTTTCTTCTTAAAAATGAAAGGCACAAAGTTTCAGACACCTGCAAATTCTCCATAGGTGAAAATATTATCTTCATTCCCGTTTGTGACACTGTAGAGGCCTAAAATACGGGAACCAATCAGAAATTGATTCGTATTGTCTTTACTCTCATATAAAGGGATTCAAATCAACGTTCTCATCCTCGTGTGGTTGAAATCACTGCCTTGGATGACGTGCATCGGAATGAGACACGAGAGAAAGCACGAAAAATCGGAGAGAGAATTTGATGAATGGCCTGAGCGTTAACCCTTGACTCGTGATCATTGTTTTAGTAAAGCTCTGCTCTGACCATGACGCAGTGCCGTCATTCATAAATCTTCCAGCGCCCGGTGATGGACTCTTGTTAGTACATGATAAATCAACCACCGACAAGTTTTTTCAAGTGCTGCCTCCTCGTGTAACACCGAACTCCTTTTGTTCTGAGGTTTGCGCTTCGATTCAATGTTTGGATCAAGATTCCAGACTCTTAAAAACATTGACAAGAAAAAATACTCTCGACTCAATCGGATTTTTCCTTGAATCGAAGAGCCAAGCCTCTTGATTTAAGCGGATTTCCATTTGAATCAAGAGTATTTTTTCTTGTCAATGTTTTTAAGAGTCTGGACTCGAGATCCAAGCTACTTTTTTTACCAGTGTACTAAGGAAAAACACCGTAAGAGCATTCTAATGTTGCTAAATTTTTCCTCAGAAAAGATTCATTTTTGAAGAAAGTTATGTATGTAGTTACTCATGTTTTTCCTTGAAATTTTCGAACAATTCAAACAAAATCACGAACGAAATTTTGGGAAAAATCAGAAGGAAACTATTAATAAATTTCCCCGAAAAGTCGAGATTTTTCGAAGGAAATTAGGCAACCTCTGAAAGCTCATACGCCGTTCTTCTTTCGCACTTCAGTACTGCTGTCTTCCCACAACCGGAGAAAATAGTAATATTCACTTTAAAAATGGTTATTTTTTATCGCAGTCCTTTTATGCTTATGTTTTTAGTGTAATATGAGAGGCTCGTGAGAGAAAGAAATCAATTGAAAGCTAGTAAATAACAAAATTTTTACCGGGACTCACTTAAACAAAATGAATTAGTTCTTTGGACGCGTTGCAGGAAATCAGGCACGGGCAAACGCTGAAGATCAAGCCAAAGCCTCTAAAACCCGGCATATGAAATAATTAATTTTGTGCAACTGAGTCCCGAAAAAAATGTTGTTATTTTTACAAATCTTGTGCAGTCCTAAAGAAAATTTTTTTCTAATTGATAAATATTACGTTGATTTAAAATGTTTAGTTGGCACTAAGGAGTGTCGACAGCCGTTTTATAATCGCGAAATTGGATAAACCCCCAATTATTTAATAGCCTATGATAGGGAAGGCAGTTTGTTCAATTCCAGTTGGCCATGTTAACTATGATGAAAAACATTCTTTTGTCCAACTTATTTGATTTGAACACACACAAAATCTAAGAAACTTAAACGCAACTAAGAAAAATAAACCATTTTATGAAGAAACAACTCTTAAATGACCTTCAGTTGGTCACGATATCCATGGCAAAAAATATCCTCTTTTACAACACTTTTAATGAGTCGGGAAACACACAAGAAAGCTTAGAGACTTAAATGCAGGATAGAAAAGTAAATCATTATATAAAGTAAGGACTCCAGTTGACCAGGATACTATGTAATGCATAAAGTAAGGACTCCAGTTGACCAGGCTACTATGTAATGCAAGTGTTTTCTCTCCACATTTTATTAAATGATAAGTTTTGCAATTCTCCATTTTTTTTCTATACACAATCTTTCCTTCTTTCTTTTTTTCGGAACAGAAAGTTATTAATACATGATTCTCTTTTCGCAGTACGAATATTTTCTCAAAACTTATGTTCCCTACTTCTTTTGGATAGAGTAGTTAGTATGGAATAATGGTCGAAAGTTCGGCTCCAGAGGCAAAACTACTCCCTCCCAGTCTCAGAGAGGAGTTCTTGGAGGTTAGTGATACAATGCGGTTCCAGGGTGAAAATTCCCGCTGGAGAGGGTATAAGCTTCCCGCTGGGGAGGGTAAACTTCCCGCTAGGGAGCGGACAATTTTCGTTCCCGAACAGGAAGTTTCCGCTCGGGAGCAGAAGGTTTTCGCTCCCGAGTAGAAACTTTCCCTCTCGGAAGCAAAAAAAAATTTCGCTCGGGAGCAGAAATTTTCACTTCTAAGGAGAATTTTTCGCTCGGGAGCAGAAAGTTGTCGCTCCCGAGAAACAAGATATGATCAAAAATAATATCTGTTGGAGCACCTCAAGGAATGCTATTTTCCGGAAATATCATGTCTTTCGCACAAGGTGTTTCAGACTACTCTTACCGGACTTTTTTCTTGAATGTTTTAGGCCGCACGAAGTCAGGAGTCGCGGGGTTAAACAGGGAAATAATCGCAAGGAACCGAAATTTCATGGTTCCGAAACCCCCCGATCAAAAGGGAGGTCGTGACTTTACAAGCTCGGGTTCCCTTAAAAATTTTGAAATTTGTTCGTCGAATTCAGAACACTCGGACATTTTTGCCTCAAGTCGTTGCCAAGGAATCTAAAGTCGGACCACGCCTGTTTGACACATTGACCCCTTAAGGCGGGAGCAGGGCCCCTTTCCATAAAATGCAATATCGTTAAATTGACGTAGAGACCAAGGGAAAAGATTCGTAATCGACCTCCAGAAATCCGAATGAGACAGTCCTGAAGCCCCTCAAACCTCGTTGCTTTGGAAAAAAACCTCGCATTCGATACACCTATCGATATCTGTATCGAATGCGAGGTTTTTTTTCCAAACACTACTCTGCTTTCATTTCTCTAAATTTTTCCGATTTTTGGGTTTAGAATGATTCTGTAAGCTTATGCGCAGGGGCTATCGTCCTTTTTTTTGCTGAAAATTCAAAATCTGCCGAGATTTTTGACCTAAAAGATGCGATATGTCGCATGCCAGTTCGACCACGTCACTTGAGCTTGACGAATCACCTTAAATCAAGAACCAAGCCTCTTAATTTGAGCGGATTTCCTTTTGATTCGAGCTTAAATCTGATTGAATCAAGAGTATTTTTTCTTGTAAATGTTTTCAAGAGTCTGGACTCTAGCTCCAATGTGTTTTTTTTTTCCCAGTGCACTACATGATGGCACTTTGCACTGCTGTTATGAATGGTAGCACTTTTTGCTTTGTTTTTGCTAATCTCTGTTTGATTGTTAGTGAAATAAAAACAAAAACTCACCCCAAAGTTTTTTTTCTTCATGAAAACAGTGCTCCTCTAGCGGATGTGCATCATGCAGATGCGCCAATAGTAGATTTACTAACTCGTTTACAGCAGATCTCAGTGAGATCATCTTAGCAGGCAGGTCTGTTCATTGATAAGTTTAACATTTTTACATATTAATTATGAAAGATGCTGTCAAATTTACACATTCCGCAGTATTTCGTGTATCATCATAAAAGCTTTAATCAGGAAATTATTATACCTTTAAAAGTAAACAATACACATTATCACGAGGATCAATGTTTAAGATTCGAGAGCGCATCAAAATTAACCTCTGAATTCGGAGATCATCAATTAACCTAAATTGGCGAAATGCTGAATCAAGATTTGTATGGATCGCAAGATGAGGCGCAGAGGAGTGTCCATGCGAGACTTTCAAGCCAAAAGTGCGGTTTACACGAGACGTAGTGACTCCAACCAAACTCCCATGAGCAGCATTCACGAGGAATAAGTTAAATGCACCTCTAGACCTCAAGGATAACCAGTCTTGCCGTATGATGAGGAGCTTCAATGGTTCATTTCTCGACTACGCAGCCCCGCACCCCACATTCACCGAACCATCGCCATTGCCAAACCGTCCTTAAAATATTAAAAATAATCTCGATCAAGCGATATCGCGACCGTCTGCATTGCAACTTTGTTCACTATTTTCTGCGTGGCATCCGAGTGGTTCAGCTCCGCTTTTCTGGTGAAGTTGCCCGCAGAATGGCGGGAAGAGAGGTTGCATTCTGTAACGCTAAGTGTTAACTACAATAATTAATCACCAACACTTTCTAAAAACCTGATCGACCGCATTGCTATAACAATATGTATTTCCAAAGGATGTCACCGCATTCCGCGGCTTCCATGGGCTCTCTTGGATGGCTGATCGCGCGCGGATCATCGTTAGAATGTCCGTGCAGACAGATTCCAGCGGAAGAAGCTTTCTTGTGTTCAGTGCTCCTTCCTTGGATGCGTCCTTCGAGCACGCATTACGTTTTCCGATGGTAGAATGGCGCCCAGTTCTTGCTCATCGACAATGTTACTAAAATGTTTCGATACGCTGTTATTTTCAGACCACCTTTCTCAGGCAAACGAAGAGATTTTTCGAACTGGCATTTCTCGTAATATCTGACGCCATATCAGTTCGACCACGTCTTTTGAGCTTGACGAATCACCTTAAGCAAAAATCCGATTGAATCAAGAGTATTTTTTCTTGTCGATGTTTTTGAGAGCCTGGACTCTGGATCCAATGTGTTTTTTTTCTCAGTGTGTTTACTCTCATCTTAACTTGTGAGTAATCCAGTTATGACTCCACTCACTAGTGATTCTGTAGTTCCGTTCTTTTCCTCGACTATTCCGAGACGTTACTGGAGCACTATGGCACGCTTTTACGATGAACGTGCAGACTTCAAAATTCAGACGTGCGGTACGATAAAATGGTGAAGAGTGAATTAATATCATTTTTAAAGCCCGTGTGAAAATAAAGAAACAACTATTTATTAATGCATACACACGCGCGAATTTGTTTGCGGG